AATTTGAAAATGTCCGTTAGTGGGAAGCCGATTCAGCGTCATTCGTCAGTAGTACAAAAACAGACTGATCACAGCGCATCTCTACTTCCTCGTTCTACAAGGTACTCAATAGAATAAGGACTACTAACATCATTATTAAATTTTTCAGCCGGTGGATAGTAACTGATCGTGCATACACACTTGTCTGGTGCGGAGCCCCGAGTCCATGAAAATGAATTGGGACCGCAAAATCCCGCTGTGCTCGCGCTAACTATTCCCCTTCTCCATTGCCATCATTTCCCGGGCTGCAGTTTTTTTTCTTCTGGATAATTCCACGGACACGGTACATTCTTGGTACTCAATACCCAGATAACCCTGCGATCACAAGTCAGGTTTTTACACTTCTTGCTCGGTCCATGCTGAGTATTTGCACAGCTAGCGCCTGTAAACTGAGGTTGAATGCCCATATTATTACCGCACGTTTGACGCCGGCGGTGGAAAATCCGAGATAGTTGTAGTTCGGAAATATATACCAGCATTCCATTTCTTACACGTATACTGCTCTAACATCTTGCGGTCCTGGAGTTCGAGTGTGCGGAGCGTGCACGCTGAGTCCAGTCAAATGGAGGCATTCACGAATGATGGAACTGTCAAAGTCTGTTCATTAGGCTGACCGTGACTGGCACTCACCTCTGACATATGATTGGTCATTCGCACCCTAATCACGCACGGACCTTCGACCGGCTGCCCATCAAGGACTTTGATCGCCGAGGAGTCCCTGTACGCAAAACATGCTTCCCACTGTCTACTTCACACTCCTCCAAAAGGAATTTGACGATGACCACTGCAATGATGAAGTTTCGCGCATAACTCCGGCTGTCTCTTCCAAATGCGCACTTGTGGAAGGTTTCTTATTTCAGTTTATTTGGTAAGGATAATAGGCAAAGCCTTTGAAAACCCTATTGATTACATGTCAGCTCGTTAGAATAACTGTACACGAACAAAAAATGTTCACTATTAAAACAGTACTTGGTTCATTTGAGTAGCATTGACTCAGAGAAAATATTTGTCTGGACCAGGGGTATTAATTCAGATTCAGACTGTCGAGGGAAAACAGGGGACACAAATAATCATCCAAGCGTTTCTTGAAGAGTTGTAGGGATGTAGCCTCCACGACTGACTGAGGGAGATCGTTCCATTTCTCCACTACCCTCTGCGTGAAAAATTCAGAACGGAGATTCAGCCTGGACATTGTTGCCCGTAACTTCATCGAGTGACCACGAAGATTGGGTGAAAGGTGCCACTGAAACATGTCCTAAAATTTAAGTCCATACTCAAGGCCATGTATTATCTTGTAGACGAGGATAAGATCACCTCTTTGCTGCCTGTAACACAGAGGGATTAAATTAAGGCAATTCAGTCTGTCTGTGTAGGAATGGTTTTTTAGACCGTTTACCAGCTTTGTTGCACGCCGTTGTACCCGTTCGAGGCATTCTTGGTCCTTTACCAGCCATGGCCGCCATGCTTGTATGCCATATTCTAAGTGGGTCCGAACAAATGTTTGATAGTCATTATAGAATGTCATGTCACCGGCCTCTTTACATAATACGTTTTGACAGTCAAGAAACTTGCTGGTGCAAATAGTTATGAGTCTTCGTAATTTTGCCTCGGTTGGCTTTAATCAGCGATATACGACTGAGGATCATGCAAATAAAAAAATTTCATTTTGTGCTGCGTGCGTGGTCAGAGTTGCATAAACATTAGGGATCAAGTAATGCTAACGAAAGTAAACTTTAATTGCCAGTGAGTCATGATGTTAGCGCGTGACGTCCAATATATGCAGGAAATGTGAAAGGCTGTGATAGTAACGGACACTAACTGCCTACGCCTGTCATCCTCGAATCCAAAACTCCATTTTGAGTAAACCCTTATTATAATCTAACAGAGGCAAACTTATTTTACTGTTTTTCTTAATGGCGGACACAAAAGAAGCATATTTGAACTCATTTTGGAGACTGAACCACAGGCACAGCTCCTGTTACAGAGAAAATCCTGTCTGCGGAGTCAGCACTTCCGAAGTATTTTTCAGACGGATTACGAGCCAAAAGAGCAAATGAAAGTGAGACAGCTGATAACGGAGCTGGGAAGGCAGAGGAGCAGCGGCGAAACACACCTACAAATCAAGAACGGACAAATAGTCCGGGTCGAAAGAAAATTTCTCTGGCGGAAGGCCGTCATCCTGACAGCCTAATCAATGTAAAGGTGCCACGTTTTGATGCTGTGAGCGCCAGTGATCGCTGTCCAGAAACCAATTAGACTAACTATCAAAGACTCTTCAACAAATTAAATGAACTCAGATTACCAGCCTCTGAACAGAAGCCTCACATAATTGCCCTAACAGAGACATGTTTGCCTAACAAAATAAGCAGCAGCGAAGTCAGTATTGGAGGTTACCAAGTATTCAGTTGTGACAGTTTCCCACATAGAGGAAGAGGCACGGCGATTTATGTGTCACATGAAATTCCGTGTTGTCAGCGAGGAATATCCGATGTGACACCATGAAATTTTAAAATAATTTTATGCAAGATATGTATTAAACAATTACCGACACTGAACCTGTGTGCCGTTTATCGGCCTCCCAGCTCGGATGAAATCGTCGATATGGAATTACTTGGTGCACTGGAGTTTTTATGTAAGCAGGAGAACTTACTACTTCTGGGCGACTCTAGTGCTCTAGGAATAGACTGGAAAATTCCGTTTACAAACGCCCATCCACGCCATTTGACAACAAGTTTCTACAACTCTCCCTGAACTAATACCTCATCCAACACATAAAATTCCGAACAAGACTGAGAGAAGGACGACGATCTAACTATAAAGATCTCGTGTTCAGTAAAGAAGGAGTCATAGGGAAAGTGAATTCCCAACCTCCACTCTTTTTAAGTGGTCATATTGCTTTTTCCTGCGTATGCTGTCTCCTAGCGAACCAGCAATCAAAAATTAAGAGGCGCAGAAATATTTCGAAGTGTGACTTTAACGCTATGAGACAAGCTCTTGTGAAGGACACCTGGTTAGTCAACATGGAAGATTCAAAAGCCTTCTGGAAGTACTTTCGCGGGATTACAGAGCGTCCGGTTGATTCCAACTGTCCAAAAAGAATAACGAGACCATGTGCGCGACCGCCGTGGATCAATCCGATGACAAAAAGACCAGGAAGTAGAAACAGAGTCTGTGGATAAAGTATTGGCATATTCGAGATCCAATAACATTCGCCGAATATAAGGAGCAATGCAATAAATGCCGCAAACGAATACGGGCTCTTAGAACTTCTTTCGAGCGCCGACTGACAGTAGAATCCATCATATGTCCAAAAAACGTTTTATGTACACATCCGCAATAGGAGAAAATATGGAGGAGAAATTGCGTATCTAAAGGATAGCCACGGAAGCGTATTAGTTAAGGGACACAGAATATTCGCAGAAGGACCTCGGTGGTTCGATACAGAGCAACATGGCCGCAAAAAATGCCATGGAAGTGTTCCATGCTATCAAAAGGGTGATCGTAACCTTTGACAAATACCTTTTTGGAAGAGTTTACAGCACCTTTGTTCGGCCCCATTTAAAATATGGCAAACGAGCGTGGCGGCCATGGCTAGTAAAGGACCAAAACATGCCTCGAAGGAGTACAACGTCGTGCAACAAAGCCGGTGAACGGTTTAAAAAGCCAATTTTACACAGAAAGACTACATTGCCTTTATTTATTCGCTCTGTGTTACAGATAGCAAAGCGCTGAACTTATCCTCGTTAACAAGATAATGCATCGCCTTGAGCATGGACCTAGCTTTGAGGACATGTTTCAGTGGCGCCCCTCACCCAACCTTCGTGGCCACTCGATGAGCCTGCGCACAAAATGTTCAGGCTGAACCTCCGCTCTGAATTTTTTAAACCAAGGGTAATGAAGAAATAGAATGATCTCCCGCAATCATTTATGGAGGCGACGTCCCTGAAGCTCCTCAAGAAACGCTTAGATAATTATCTGTGTCCGCTGTTTTCCCTCGACAGTATGAACCTGAGCTAAATACCCCGCGATCTCCAGAGAGTTCTTCTTTGAAACAATTCTACTCAAGTGAATCAAGGGCTGTTTTAATAGCGACTAATTTCATTGTTCGTGTACAGTTGTATCTAATGAGCTGACATGTAATCAGTCAGTCAGAGTAATTGAGGGAAATAGGCTTACGCCATCGAAAAATAAGCAACATGTGAAGAAATTACAGCATTAAGTGAATGCAGACATTGATTCACATATGCCATTTGTCTCATGGATAAAAAGTCACATAGTCCGCTTGGTGCTTTAGCATATGTCTGTCAAGTCTACATTTAAGTGTCGCCACAGTTTGAGACATGACTACCATCTCGGGCAGATTATTCCACGGTTCCGCGACACGGTTGGAGAAGAAATATTTTCTCACATTCAATCTACCCTGGGGCACACGTAGCTTTAAGGGATGTCCCCGGAGGTTAGTTGTTGTGACGAGTTGGAAAAAGTTATCGCACCGAGGTGCGCAGTCCAAGCCACGCACGATATGGAAAGTTTGTATTAAATCTCCGCTCAAGTGCCTATAACTCAGAGGATAGAGATTAAGGTTAGCATAGGTAATCTCATATGCAATGCACTTTGAAGTCTTATTGGTTTTGTTGCTCGCCTCTGCACCCTTTCGGGCAGATTGTAATCCTGATGCGTCCATGGTCTCCAGGCATGAATTGCATTTTCGAGATGCGGCCTTACAAACGTGCCGAAGACTTTGGAGAAGCAGTTTCAGTTTCAGTTTCAGTTTATTAAGGGAAATATAGGCGAGCGCCTTTGAACTCCCTATTGGTTACAAGTCGTCGGAAAAAAACATTGATAGTGGGAAGGAGAAAAAAGGGTTTTGTAGATAATCGCTAACAGCTAGTCAAAAAGAGTAATCAATAACGGTTACTAACAAATTACAAGTAGTGTAAACAAGTTTAAGTGGGTACCGTTTATGTGAGTGGATGCAAGGCTGGTAACCGGGAGGCTTGATGCGCGTCAAGTCTAAACTTAAAGGAATTCACACAGGAGGAGGTTGCAACATCGGTGGGCAGGGCATTCCACGCTGCAACCACTCTGTGACTGAAAAAGAACTTTCTCCCATTGATTCTTGCTTTCTCGGCGCGTAGTTTTAGGGGATGACCGCGCAAATTGGGCGTGTTAGCTTGTGTTAAATAATCAGTGGGATCTAAACAACAGTCTAGGCCGTTGATAATGCGAAATGCAAGTATAAGGTCACCACGTAATTGCCTGTAGGAAAGGGGAAACAGGTTGAGAGTTGACAGTCGAGATTCGTAAGACAGCGCTCCCAGACCTCGTGTCATTTTGGTCGCCCGTCTCTGGACCTTCTCCAAAACGGTATAGTCCTTGGCAGTCCAAGGTCTCCACGCCTGTATGGCGTATTCTAGATGAGGCCTCACGTAGGTGTCAAATATTTTTGAAAAGCTGTCTGGATCTAATCCCATAAATGCTCGCTTAATGAGTTGCAGTGTAGCCATAGCCGATTTAGCCGCCTTCGCGCAGTGCAGTGTTGGTTTGAGTGAAGATGTAATCCATACACCCAAGTCCTTCTGACTGTCTACCTGTTGCAGTGGTGTGCCCTCTAGGAAGTAGGTCCTAGGGCTGGAGGCTCTGAAGCTGCCTAGTTGAAGAAAGTTGCACTTGCTTATATTGAAGGGCATAAGCCAGCGCTTCGACCAGTCTTCGAGCCTGTTCAGTTTTGCTTGCAGGTGGTCTGCGTCTGCCGCATTGTGAATAACTTTCCACAATTTTATGTCGTCGGCAAACAGGATGGTATCACAGTCTAAGTCCTTGACGCAGTCATTTATGAAAACGAGGAATAACGTGGGACCTAGGACTGAGCCCTGTGGGACGCCATTCACCACGCTTACCACTGAGGACTGTTGACGCCCGACCTGCATTCTTTGGGACCGTCCAGCCAAAAAGCTCTGGATCCATGCAAGAAGACGTCCACGAAGTCCAGCGTTGCGTAGTTTGTGCAAGAGACGTTGGTGGGGAACGCTGTCGAAGGCCTTTTTGAAGTCGATGTAGATGGCGTGCACCACACTACCTTCATCGCGTGCTTTGATCCAGCGTTCAAGCGTAAAGAGCAGATTCGTGAGACAGGACCTACCACTTCGAAAGCCGTGTTGTGCATCAGAGAGGAGGTGGTACTGCTCGAGGAACTGCATCAAGGCCTTCTTAATGATCTTCTCCATGATTTTGCAACAGATAGAGGTAAGACTCACTGGCCTGTAGTTATTCGCAGACGCACGACTTCCGCTCTTAAAAAGCGGAGTGATGGTAGCGGACTTCCAGTCAAAGGGTAGGCATCCAGTAAGAAATGATGTTTGGAAGATCAAGGCTAATGGCTTGGACATTTCTGGAGCTAGCTCCTTCAGCAGCTTTGCGGGGATTGCATCCGGGCTTGGGGAGGTCGATTCTTTCAGATTAAGTAACTCGTTCCGAACAATTGCTTCGGTGAAGAATACGGCTTCAAGGGTAGGCTTTTCTTCGTCTTCACAAATGGGGGAGAGAAAATCAGGTTCACTTGTCACGACGGACCGGAAAAACTGAGAGAGGTGTTCAGCCTTATCCTTGTCATCGGAGATTTCCATTCCCTCGGCTGTTTGCAGCAGTGGGATGGGGGCTTTGTTCCGCGTGCTCTGTCTTATGTAGCTGTGGAGGACTTTGGGATTAACCCTGGCACGGTTCAGAAGATCCTTTTCAAAGGCTTTCCGATCTCTAGCGATGAGAACTTTGACCCGATTTCTCTGAGACTTATAACTGCTTAGGGATTCTGGCGTCCGGTCAGTCAGGGATCTTTTCCACAGCTTCCTCTTCTTGTTAACCTCCTTCTTTAAGGACGGAGTCAGCCAGCGGGATCTATTTGTTAGTCTTCTGTGCATGACTGGGCAATGGTTGGAGATGAGGTTGTGGACTAACTCTTTGAACTGACACCAAACCTCTTCGACATCGCCGGATAGAGTGGATGCCCAGTCGATAGGACCTAGATCCCTTCTCATCTGTTCGAAATCTCCGCGCCAGATATTGGGTCGGGCATCGAGCGGTTGTGCAGGCAGGGAGAATAAGGTGTATTCCCATATGAGAACTACATGGTCACTCTGACCCAACGGGGGAGGCAATTAACAACGTCGATATTGTCAGAGGACTTGGTGAACACCAGATCAAGGCAATTCATTTGCTGGCCCTCTCGAACTCTCGTTGGAAACATTACGTGTTGGGTTAAAAGCAGATTGTCGGAGGTACGCAGTAACTGCTGGTCGAATGCTGCTTCAGAGCAGTCGGCTGAGGCCGAGCTCCAGTTTATGTGAGGTGCATTAAAATCTCCGACGATGAGAGTAGCCGGTCGCATTGAAAATAGCCTAAGCTCCTCCAGCAGTTGGGCATCAGCGTCAGGGTCATTTCTCGGGGGGCTATATACTGTCAAGATATCGAGGCTTTGAGAGCCTGGTGCCCTTATGGTCAGCCACAACTCTTCCGTACTGCAAGTCAATCGGGCAGTTTTTTCTGAAACGTATAAGCCATTTTTAACAAATTTTACTATGCCTCCACCCCTCCTGTTTTGTCTGTCTCTGCGGAACAGTTGAAATCCAGGGAGCAGAGTTCTCTATCGTCAATCTGTTCGGAAAGCCATGTTTCTGTTATTGAGATAACGTCTGGGTGGAGGTCATGGGTAAGGTTACGAAGTTCATCCAGTTTAGAAAGTACACTTTGCGCGTTGGTATACATGAATATGAGTTTCGAGTTCATGCGTAATTTTTTATCAACCCCGACACAGGCTACCGTGGTACCTGTCATCATCGAAAACTGTGAATGCCCGCTTGATGATATAAAGCATTGAAGTTGCGGCCTTGGCCGCCTTACAACCTTGCGTAGAAGGCTTTAGAATGTCTGCAACCCAGACTCCGAGATCTTTCTGCGTTTCTGCTTCTCGAAGTGGTATTCCGTTCAGATGGTATTGCCGCGTACTAGGGGTCTCATTTCCGAGGCACAGAATGGTACATTTGTTCAAATTGAAGGACAGCAGCCATCTGCGAGACCACTCATCAAATCGACAAAGATTTTCTTGGAAGTTGGTCTCATCGGCAGCATTCTGGATGACTTTCTAGATTTTTATGTCATCTGCAAACATTGCACTATCACAGTCCAACCCATCTACACAATCATTGATGAACAAGTGAACGAGGGTTGGTCCGAGCACCGAGCCTTGTGGGACCCCACTCTCTATGAATGTGCACCTTGATTGCTGTTGTTCTACGCATACAATTTAGGAGCGGCCGACGAGGAAGTTTTCGATCCATTTGAGAAGTTTGCCGCCGATGCCCATTATTCTCAACTTGTGCAGGAGACGCTGGTGCGGGACACTGTCGAACGCCTTCCGGAAATCAATATAGGCCACGTGCACAGTGTGTTTTGCGTCCAGTGCTCTTGTCCAACTTTGCATTGTATAAAGCAAGTTCGTTACACATGATCTTCCCCTACGGAAACCGTATTGTGCATTGGACAAGAGATTGGGACTTTCCAGATAAGTCATCAACTCCTTTTTGATGGTTTTCTCCATCACTTTGCAGCAGATTGATGTCAGACTGACGGGTCTGTAGTTTGTCGCCAGAGCACGACTACCGCTTTTGTAAAGGGGTGTAATGTGGGCCGTCTTCCAGTCTGTGGGAGGGATTCCAGCATAAAACGATTCCTGGCACAGAAAGGACGGTGGTTTGGCCAGTTCTCGGGCAAGCTCGAAAAGCAGCTTTGCTGAGATCTCATCCGGACCGGGAGATTTACATTCCTTCAAGCTTTTTAGTTCTTCCAAAATCGTTGATTCTCGAAACACGATATCTTCGATAGTGGGATCTCCCAAGTTCTTGGAACTAGTTGGAATAAATTCTGTTTCACTTGTGAAAACGGATTGGAAAAATTCAGAAAAATGCCCAGCGATATCTCCAAAACGTCATCATTCCTTATGACAGGAATGGGACTTCTGTTACGTGTGCTCTTCCGTAAATAGCTGTAGAGCAATTTCGGATTTTTAACGGTTTGGTGAAACAAATTGCTCTCGAAATCCCTTCGCCTCTTGAAAATCAGGCTTTTCGCCTTATTTCTTTGAACTTTATATCCTGTAAACGCTTCAATGTTTTTGTTTTCACGAAATTTCTTCCACAATCTTCCTTTCTTGTTGACCTCTTTTTGAATTCACGTGTTATCCACTGGGGCGGTTGGATGTCCTAGGTGTTGAAACGGGACAGTGTCTCTTCATTAGATGCAGCAACCGATCCTTGAATAAATTCCAGTCATCGTTCACGTTTCCGGAGAAGGGAACATCCCAGTCTATTTGTGATGTCTCAGCTCTCATTTAGCGAAAGTCCCCTTTCCATATATTCGGCCTCGTATCATCTTTTGTATACAGTTCATAATACAGCTCGTACTCCCATAAAAGTACTGCATGATCACTTCGACCGAGCGGGGGTAGGTAGTATACCTCGTCTATACTGTCAGGATCTTTGGAAAAGACCAGGTCCAGACAACTGGCCCGTTGCCCTCCACATGCTCTTGTTGGAGATAGGACACGTTGGGTGAGGAGAGCAACTACAAAATCTCACCTAATCTGTGGGGAACATATAAACGATAAACTCGACTACTCAACCACATGATATGCATTCAGCGCATTCCGACTGAATGTTGTATATGCATACACTCCAAGCCCTTTGCTGGACACTATTCCCTTTACGTTCAAAGCGGTTTGCGAAGGCGTACCGTATTTTCATGTGTTGGGCACGGATTTTATCACGTCTTATTCTTAGATATGCAGTGAAATATGGGTTTTATCTATGGTACCTGAGATTTTTCAAGCATAAAGTAAAGATACATGCTATCATTAGCTACATAAAACAGATCAAAGAGAACCTCAAATACTTACTGGCAAGAGGGTTTCCGGAAGCAAAGGTGAACGGATTTGATCAAAATAATCGACTGCAAAAAGAAGAGAACGAATAGATTTCTGCCAGTTAACGAAGACTTTGTATCGGATACACATGTAAATGGAAAAGATCAGGAGAAATGTATCACGTGGGGTCTAATTTCCTTTATTTTCGATTAGAAATACATGTGACTGTGTCCGAAAAAAGGAAAATCACAGTGCATAATAACGTAACAAATAAAAGATGACTTCAATATTGTTCATCACCAACGCTTCTTTAAACGCTGCATCATCATAAGACTAAAAGCTGAGTTTAATCGACGCATTCTTACATCTGGTTTGGTTAGTTAGGACAGGAAAAACAAAGATTATTTGAGAAGTATTTAAGGAGAGGTTGGGCAATGCGTAAAGTAAAAAGTCCGTACATAATGCTCTACGGCCCGTCTTCGCAGTTTCCGAAATAGTTTCAGATTCAGGACCTTTTCGAATTCTTTTATGCGGAGAGCTTCGATATCTGCTCGATATCTCGTCGTTATACTCTTAATGCTAAGAGAAGTAATATAAAAAGCATCGACAAGTACGAAATTGCGTAAAATCTTAGTTTTTGATGATTTTATCATGATGGTAGTTTTTCCTCATCCGGAACGTTACACTCCAATACGAAAAGCCGCGTTTTAATTAATCGCATGCCCTAAGTCCAGCGTAGCGCGCCCTGTTCGGCATCTTGGGCCTCCTGTGATTGTGTGATGCAGGACACGGATGCACTCTCTAGAACGTATGATATTCTTCCTGAAGTGCGTCCCCTCTGACTTTTATATTTTTAATGATTCGCACAAGAATATGACGTCCTAATTTTTGAGATACAGAAACTAGCCCATAATTTCTCAAGCTTTCCTTGGCCATTATTTCCTCGACGCATATGCTGCAGCCTAGGATGTCAGCACGGGACCATTGTGGTGCACTGTCTTCACTGATAGCATTCTACTCGTCCAGGGTTAGCCCGGTCTCGGTCTACTGTTGCGATTGACTGGATTTTTCAGCAATCCTGGCGGACACTGTCCACACGGGGACAGTAGTTTGATACACCTTCTCGGGCGAGTGGAGGGCGTTGTAGCCCGAGGCGATTTAAGTCGCCCGACAGGGGCCTAAATTCCGGACAAAGTGCGTGCGTGTGTACGAGCAAAGGGCCCCCCAGGCGTGACGTAGAAAATGCACTTGGGTGAGCATCAAGGAGTGGGTGTAGTAGAAAAGCTACTTTCCTCGCACAAATGGAGCACTCTCAGCCAGTTAGGTTACTAGCCCTGCACTGACCCGAAAGTCAAACGGGGTAGCAAATGTCCAGCCCTGGACGACCAAATGCTACATTTGGTACCCATTCTTGCGCCGAAAGCCGAATCTATTGCATAGGATTTTTTGCCGGGGTCCGTAAACTAATTGCTCTTTTCTAGTGCAGGTATATAAAAGTATTCTCTCCAACACGTAAGTGGGCGTTGGATAACGCAAAGGTTACTATACGGATAATACGATTATGGCAACAAGATTTGGTTTGGAAGTCCAGGCGTCCAGTGGAAGTTTCGACTTCAACATGGTCTTGAGGATCACGATTTATTTGGCAGTTCTTTTCTGATTTACCCTAGCTGTATTCCTAACGTAGAAGAGGTTTGCCGAACGGCATAAACTGAAGTTGGCAAATCAGTAAGTTCTGAAAAAGATGGCAACACTGACCGACGTGCACGTATGAACGGTTTTTCCGAATTATTGTCTGAGTTGCTTTTGTTAGGTCTTGCTTTCACAGGCACTGACCCATATTTTCCGTCCTATTTCGTTTGTAGTCCCAGCAAACGTCTCTTGTTCGCCATCTTAGAAATGCGTGAATGTAGACATAACCGAGAATACCTTAGTTAAGCTTGTTCATGGACTGAACAGTGTTCTGTTATAATACGGTTTATAGACTTAGATTTGTATCTTCACACGTTTTCAGGAAGTCCGATAGTTTTTCACGTCTAAATTACCCTCCTTTGTTTCCTCTGCCATTATACCTCTGAAATGGTGCCTATGGAGAAATCCATACTTGAAAACTTCTCGAAA